GGAAACCCCACCAGCAGCCATATGAAGCCCATGCTGCCCACACGAGGAAGGCACCCGTGGACACTTACTTTTCAGGCCGTCCACGCGGCAGAGCTGCTCCAGGACCTCCTTGGCCCCCTGCTCCCCAGGTCCTAGAGAGGTCACCAGCCCCACAGGCAGCCCATGCGTCCTCAGGGTCACGGCCACCTGCCGGGCTGTGGCCACCCAGATATCCTGGTGGGAGGACACGATGGCCACGCGAGCCCAGCCAAAGTGTCTCATGATAGACAGCAGCACGTGGGCAGCCGAAGGCAAGGTGGCCACCAGCTCACCTCCTCCTTCTGGAGCTCCGCAAGCCCAGGAGAAGAGGGTCTTGCCCCAGCCTTGGGCCAGCAGGGCTGCCGCTTGACAGTAACCGGGATTGACAGGGCCCACAAAGGCAGCCACGGTATTCTTGTGGGCCAGGAATGTGGCCAGAGCATGAGGGGTGTCACAGCCCGTGGCAAGGACCACGGAAGCCAGCCTCGAGCCCAGCACCAGTGAGGAGTCCTGGTTGGCTCGGTCCACAGCCAGCTGGGCTGCTACACTGGGGAGGGCCCTGGCAAAGATGGGGTCACAGTCCCAAGGACCCAGCACCCCCAAGGTGAAGGTCCCTGACCCGAGGGCCGGATCAGGGAGAAAGCCAGCCCCGATGGCACCCCAAAGCACCACAGACAGAAGCGGTGGGAAAAAGGCTGTCCTTGGATGACTGAGAGTGGACCCCCACGGGCCCTGGCAGGACAGGCACGTCTTCCCATGTGGCAGCATCCGATACCAACCTTCAGGGGACAATCCCTCCCGTAGTCCTGGGAAAAGGGGACAAAAACAAAGTTTGCTTTCTAGCATTTTCTGCCACTACTTTCTGTATGACTTTGAGGCACACAGTACCTTCCCCCAGAACCTCAGCCTCCTCATTGATAAAACGAGGGATTGAGACCCATCATGTCCGAAGACTCCCAGCTTTGGGGTCTAACATCCTCCCCAAGACTGACTCACAGCCTGGGCAGAAGCCCAGTCATTCGGCGTGGGCTCCAGAGTCCGAGCTGGCGAGACCTGGCTCGCTGCTTTCCATCCTCGTGGGCCTAGCCCAGTCTCTGAGGTTTCTGAGCCCCATTTCCCTCTTCTGTGAGAATGCGGAAAACAAAGCCTACTTTATGGAGTGGCCATGATGGTTGTGTGCCATAACGTGCAGCACTCAGCGCAGTCCCTGGTCCTTCCTTAGGTGTTCAATAAATCCCGCTTCTTTCAACCTACTGTTACTGTTGTTTCCTGCACTCATCATCCTAGGTGGACCGGTGCTCAGGGCCGCTGTGAGCCTTCCCTGCCCCTTACCCTCAAGCCCAGCCTCATCCCCTGGCACTTGACTCCACTGGACTCCAGGGCCCTATGGCACAAGCAAGGCCTGGGTATGGTGAGCGCAGACACAGTCCCGTCTCGGATCCCCTCTGGCCTGTTCTCTCTCCACTGTTCAGATGAGGAAACTAAGGGAGACTGGGAATGGGGTTGGCAGAGAGACAGGATGAGGACAGGTCTCTCCAACTCATCCTCCACCCCACACAGGACCTCCTTGACCAGGACATTTGGACTAGAGGACCCCCCACTCTGCCCTTCTGTCCCAGGACTTTGACGTCCACCCTGCAGTCCTGCCACCCCGGCTCAGTCTCTGCCCACAGCCTTGACATGGTCCGTTCCCCATCCGGGCACCCAGCCAGTCCTTCCACCTCCTTCATGCAGCCGGCAGCCTTGCACTCTGGGGGCCACAGGAAGGCATAAGATCTCATCTTACCCTCAAGAAAATGCCAGGCTGGGGGGTGCCTGGGTGGCTCAGTCGGTTGAGCATCCAACTTAGGCTCATGTTATGATCTCGTGGTTTGTGGGTTCAAGCCCGGCATCCGGCTCTCTGCTATCACCCTGTTAGTGTGGAGCCCACTTTGGATCCTCTGTTTCTCTCTCTCTCTCTCTCTCTCTCTCTCAAAAAGAAAAAAGTTAAAAAAGAAAGAAAGAAAAAAATAAAATGCCAGGCTGGTAAGAAGGTAGGTTCCAGCCAAGAGAAGAAGTGCTTGTCAGGAGAGTTCTTGCCTGGGTGGCTCAGTCAGTTAAGTGTCTGACTTCGGCTCAGGTCATGATCTCACCGTTCATGAGTTCGAGCCCTACGTCCAGCTCTGTGCTGACTGCTCAAAGCCTGGAGCCGGGGACCTGCTTTGGATTCTTTGTCTCTCTTTCTCTGCCCTCCCCTGATCTCACTTTATCTCTCTCTCTCTCAAAAATGAATAAAACATTTAACAAATTTTTTTTCAAAAAGCAAGTCTATGTCAGGAGAGTAAGGGGGTGCCCTCTCAATGCCAACAGCCGTGGTCTGTGCAGGGAAGCACATTAGAAATTATGTCTGGTTCAGAGGAATAATAAGGTCCTTGGAATTACACAGAAGAATAAACCCTGATTTTTATCCCTCATTTGTCCCTGACTCTGGGTGAGACGTTTAACTTCTCTGAGCTTCTGTTTTCTTGTCTGTAAAATGGAGATGATGATAGGTATCTGGCAGAGTTGTGGCAAGGGCTAAATGCATAACGTCTCTACGGTGAGGATATCACTGTGCCAAGCAGGTAAGGAAGTAGTAAGCGGTACTGGCCAAGCGGAAGTAAGTAGGTACAGTACTTACTATGTGGAATAGTTCTCATCCCCAGCGCCATCGCAGTCACCATCATCACCATCTTGGGATCTCGGAAGAGCGGCGGGTGTACTGTGGTGTAGAAAGCGCTAGACAGGGAGGTGGAGGCCTGAGTTTCAGCCCCCACTGCCCTTGAGGCCTCAGTCTCCCTATCTGTAACAGTAGCCAGTTTTTGCAGGGCGGGCCAAGCTGAGCCCTTCAGGCCTGTGATGCTACGGTTCTCCCAGCTCAGGGCTCGGCGACTCGGGGGGGGTGCCCTCTCCTGCCGGCCTCTGAGGAGCGCTCTGTGCCCTCCCTCCGCTTCTGCCATGATGTGCCAAGTGGTCTCTTTGCTTCCTCAGGGCTCAGGATGAACCTCTCTGAACAGCTGGGCTTGTTCTGGGCTCACAGAGAGCTGATCATTTCTGGTTGGAAACATAAGCGTACGTGCACCTCTCCCCCTCATTTGTGCTGTCCAAATCACCTGTGATCCACTGCTTTGCCTTGTCTTCCCAGAGGCCCCAAGAAGAGAGCTTTTACCCTCTTTTTCAGAGAAGCACACTGACTCTGGGGGAAACAGCAATGTGTCTGAGTTCTCACCAAAAGTTAGGGCTGAGTTGGGACTGGAGCTTGGCTTCCTACCTCCCAGCCAAAGACAAAAATCACCCTTTTATCAAACACCTAGACCACCACAGCTGAAGGATCCTTGAAGATGGAACATCTAAACCAACTCCCCTGTGTACAGATGGGGAAACTGAGGTACAGAAAGGCATATGGACTTCCTTCAGTCCCACAAAGCAGCAGCAGGGTCCCCAGCCCCTGCAGTCCTGCTGGCCACACTCAGTGTCCCTGATGGCATACAGGGACTTAAGGAAGACTCTGGCAGAGCTGCTTTTAGCTCCAGCTCTCCTGCTGACTTGTGGAACAGGGTCCACACCCCTTTCTCTGCCCTGGTTTTCCCATCTGTACAGGGAAGGCTTAGTTTAGCTGCGCAGGTCTCCAAAGATCTGTCAGCTCTGATGTTCTGTCAGTAAAAATCAGGAAATGGGTGGTGTTTGTCTCTGAAGCTGGCCACGTCCCCTCTCCCAGCCCTTCCCCCAGGAGCGTGTGAACAGTGCCGGCACTGTGGGTTAATTCAACCCCATCCTGGGGGAAACCGTTTGTATTTTTTTTTAAAACGTTTATTTATTTTTGAGACAGAGAGAGACAGAGCATGAACAGGGGAGGGACAGAGAGAGAGGGAGACACAGAATCTGAAACAGGCTCCAGGCTCTGAGCTGTCAGCACAGAGCCCGACGCGGGGCTCGAACTCACAGCCAGTGAGATCATGACCTGAGCCGAAGTCAGACGCTTAACCGACCGAGCCACCCAGGCGCCCCAAACCGTTTGTATTTTTAAGCTCTAGGAGATGGATGCCGATGATTAGGCACAGGGTGCTTGACTCATAGAGCCAGGCTCATGGAATTAGTCAACTCATAGTATCCTAACCCAAAAAGATGAAGATGCCTGTGGTTACGTTAACAGACAAATGAGCAAAATTAAAATGGTAATAGGAACCTAAGGAAGGAGAGTGGAGGATTTCTGTTAGAACTGGGACTTCTTCAGCTCCTGTAGCCAAAGGTCATCCTGCTGACCTCCCAACCCAATTTCTTGCCTTCGTTCAGGACAAGCTCCCCGATGACCCACCTGCCATGATGTCTCATTGGGGCTGACTCACTGCCTCTTTGCAGGTCCTAAGGTTGCTGCACCAGTGTCCTCAGATGTCAAGCCCTCCAAGAAGACTCTAGCCTGGAGATTCCTCATTCCCACCACAGCCCTTACAGTTAACACTCCTGCTGCCTGTCAGCTTCCTGGGACTCCTGCCCAGGGAGTGCTTCATATATGGCTCATTCCCTTCCTGTCCCCAACAGGGGCGTGAAGAAGCCACTTGGAAAATTCGATCTGTTCACTTGGAAAATTCGATCTGTTCAGATGGTAGGGCTCTGGGGAGCCAAGCAGGGAAAGGAAGGAGAGAAGGAAGGAGAAAGGAGCTGAGGGAGGGAGGATGTCTTCAGCACTCCGGACAGCTCCAGGCCAGGCTTGTTCTCCCTGGAGGAAGGATGGGCAAACACTAAAGAAACCAGCATTACTGAAAATCCAGTATTATTGATATTCCAATTTTATCGATAAGGAAAGTACACTACCCAGAGAGGTTAGGTAATCTGACCAAGGGCACAGAGCTAGTAAGTGGCAAGGCCAACTATTTCTGCTCATCGCGCCACAATGATTCTTTGGGATTCTAATGGTGGTTTTTCTATCTTCCTTTTTGGGATGAAGCCTTTTGTGGAGATAGATACCACAGTCCCCTGGATAGTCAGCTCTTCCTTCTCCGTCTGCTTTCTCCAACCTGGGTGAAATTAACCGTTACTAAGTACAGTAAGTATTTACTATGTGCTAGTAACTATATATCTCAACTAATTTAACCCTTGCAACAACCTTGCAAAGTGCGTGTTGCATTTTGCTTTCTTCACATCACTTTATTCATGCTAACATGAATAAAGGCACTGCCCACTTAAGACACGTCAACAAACCAAAAAAGCAAAATTGCTTTCCCCTTCAAGAGCGAACTTTCTAGCATGGGCAGAGATTCAACCAAAAAGAAACATAATAAATAATTAGGTTTATTTTTTATTTTAGAAAGTGATAGGTGATATAAAAAAAGAAAGGTAAAGGGGGGTAATAATGTATTATAATTCAGTATAAGTATTTTCTATACTGCTGCACAATCTTCATGTTTATAATTTCAATGGTCAAGGAACACACCTGGTGGATGTGTCACAAGTTAGTAATTATCTTTTTTTGGATATTTTTATTTTGTTTTGTTTTGTTTTATGTTTATTTATTTTTGAGAGAGAGAGGCAGAGCATGGGCAAGGGAGGGGCAGAGAGAGAGAGGGAGACACAGAATCTGAAACAGGCTCCAGGCTCTGAGCTGTCAGGACAGAGCCTGACGCAGGGCTCAAGCTCATGAACTGCCAGATCATGACGTGAGCTGAAGTCAGACGTTTAACCGATTGAGCCACCCAGGTGCCCCTTTTTTGGGGGATATTTTTAGCCTTAATCTTGTCCTTGACAGATTTTAGGGCCTTTGTTTTTGTGCCAGACTTATGCCTGTTTGCTCTCTCAGCTCCATTCCCTGACCTTCCCAAACCTGACTGGGCTCCTTATTGGGAGACTAGGGAGGGACCTCTGTCCCAAGGAGGGCTGATCCTGAAAACTTCATTCCCAGCATTCCTTGCCACTGTTTTCTGGATGGATTTAGCCAATAGGAGACCCTGACAGGAGACTGGAGGCAAGGAGAAAAATAGAAGCCAGGAGACACCCCCCCCCCCCCCCCCCCCCCCCGCCCACATGTGGAAGGTGTCCCAGTGATAGCTGTGTCTCCTCTCTGGTCCTAGCCTCGTCAAACACCCCTCCTGATGTGGCTCCAATGTCTGGGCTTAAGTACTACCACCTCCTTCTTCTTTTTGTCCCTCCCCGACCAGGGGTGGAAGAGACTTCCTGCTGTTGCCAATCTCTGAACTGCTTCATATCCCAACACCTTTGTGATCACTCTCCCACTCCAACTTCCCACTACTGAAAGTACTGATGAGGACTCTGTTTTCCAGGGTGTATCTTGATCTATATACTATATCTCTGAGTTGCTTGCAATTTCCCACCATTATGAATAATTCTTTAATGGATATCATGCTTTTATCATCTTTGAAATTTTTTCTTTATGATAAACTCTCAGGAATAGCCATACTAGATCAAAGAATAACAACACCTTTAAGGTACGTTACATATTGCTTCATATTGTAATGTATTAATGCCAAGATATTCTTTAGATAATTGGAGACATTTGCATATTGCCTGAGCGTTAGCTGATACATGGTTATTCTTAAGATTTTTAGGTGAAATAATGGCAAGGCGGTTATGTAAAGAAATTTGTCATTTGTTTTCAACTCTGCATACTTGAATTATGTAGAGGGAAATGACATGATGTCTGGGATCTATTTTGAAATTATTATACAAAAGGCGAGTGATGAATGAAATATGAAAAGATCTTAATTTTTGAATCTAGGCTATGGTTGTACTTGGGTTCATTGTAACTTTTCTTCCTACTTTTGCTTGTGTTTAAGAACTTTCATAATAAGAGAAAATAGTGTTCATACCAATTAACAATGTAGGTATACAACTTCCACCAAATCATTTTTAGCATTCAGTATAATAATTTTTCATCGTTTATTTATTTTTTGGGACAGAGAGAGACAGAGCATGAATGGGGGAGGGGCAGAGAGAGAGGGAGACACAGAATCGGAAACAGGCTCCAGGCTCCGAGCCATCAGCCCAGAGCCTGACGCGGGGCTCGAACTCACGGACCGTGAGATCGTGACCTGGCTGAAGTCGGACGCTTAACCGACTGCGCCACCCAGGCGCCCCAGTATAATAATTTTTAAAAATATAACCAGCGTTTTGAAAAATCATGCATTGTGTTAGTTTTTTATGTTGTATGATAAATTACCACAAACTTAGTGACTTAAAACAACACATGTGTATTATCTCAGTTTCTGAGGGTCATAGGTGTGGGTGCAGCTTAGCAGGACTCCAGGTTAGGGTCTCACAGGCCACAATCAGGACACTGGTCAAGGCTGAGTTCTCATCTGGAGGCTCAACTAGGGAAGGATCTGCTTCCAAAATCATTCAGATTGTTGGCTGTCAGATTCATGAGAGCTTGCTGCTTCAAAGCCAGTAACGAGTCTGCTAGCAAGAGTCTTAGAAAACATAACATAATCTAATACAACTTAATCAACAGAGTAACACCATACCGTATTCTTTACTATATTCTATTGGTTCAAAGGAAGTCACGGGTCCAGTCACATTCACAGGGAGATGTTATACAAGGGCACAAATACTGGGAAGTAGGAGCTGTGAAGGCTACCTTAGAACTATACCTTAGGCATATAATAGTGAAAGAAACTGACAGCCTTGGAGAGTTCATTCTGCAGCAAGCTGGGTCAGGGCTAGAACCAGAACCCAAGCTTCCCTATGAAAATTGTAATCATCTGCTTTATGACTTTGCTAAGGGGAGAGCCAGAACCATCTTCTTTCCTGCCCTCCACACTCCATCCCTAATTTCTATCATCTCCCTCTTACTCCCTGCCATACTCCAGGCAGGACCTTGTTCTGTAGTCTAAAATCTCTTAGGAAGGTCACATGAAGGTCATTCTCATACTAAAGGACTGATGGTAGATACAGACTTGCTAGGATTTTCCAACGCGGGGTATCTGCTATGTAACAAAGACAACAAGATGATTTGCTCCAAGAGAACGAAGGTTTACTTTTAGACACGTGGGGACGTAAACAATCACTGGGGACAGTATTTGGATGGAAGGAACAAACAGTTCCTGTCTCAGAGTGGATAAACCCGTCCTGGCAACAGTAACCAGGAGGGAACTCTGAGCTCCACAGACTTCAGTTAAAATCCTCAACCATAATACTCTCTGAGTGACCCTAAGCAAGTCACTTAGCTTCTCTGAGCTTCAATTTCCTTATCAATAAACAGTGATACTATTATAATATCTACCTCACTAGGAAGCTATGAGTGAGTGTTAAAGCATTCGGTAAATGATGAACATTACTAATAATAATCACTATCATCACCATTACCGAGCACTGACTAGATGCAGATACAGATCACATGATTCAAAACAGAAAGTGTTCAGTGCCCTTGAAACAGGAAAGGGGGATGTTTAAAGAAAGAAGATTATGGCAGTCAGGATCTCAGCTAGAAGCAGAGGCACATGCAAATTAGGATAATCCCGGGAGGATTTATTTACCAAAGAATTATTAACAGAAGGATGTAGAGCTTGTGCTATAAACTGGGGTTAGCAGCAGCAGAGCTGCTACCATTCTTGGCCCCAAAGGGAAGGGAGGGCACAGTTACCAGACCTGGGAAGGGTAAAGTTATGAGAGAAGGCTGCCTTGATGGGGGCAATGACTTTTGGTTGAGGGATACAGCCAACCCAAGACAATCCTGCATGGAAGCAGCAATGGAAACAAATATCTTGATCTCACTCTTCTTGATCCTCCAGGTCTCTCCTTGGTCAAACCCAAGCAGAAGCCAGCAGGCATAGAGGTTTGATGGTGTTTCCCACGCAAGCCAGCCTCCCAGGTCAGAGTAGGCGAGGGGAAGAGATCACCTGGCAGGCAAGGAGAAGGTATGTGGCACAGTCCACCCCTTTGCCTCTCAGCATTCACTCCTGTCTTTCATCCAGTGAAGTCTTGTCCCTAAGACGTGCAAAGTCTCATCGGCTACCATATTAACAAGGTACTGTCAATTCACCTTGCAACCACTTGAGACTAACACATTAGTCATGGGGCTCCCGGGGGGCTCAGTTTTTGAGCATCCAACACTTGACTTCAGCTCAGGTCATGATCTCACGGTGCATGAGTTTGAGCCCCACATTAGGCTCTGTGATGATTGTGCAGGGCCTGCTTGGGATTCTCTGTCTTCCCCTCTCTCTCTGCCCCTCTCCTGCTCATGCTCGCTCTCTCTCTCTCTCCTCTCTTAAAAATAAATAAACATTTAAAAAAAACATTAGTCACTACTAGTGTTCTTTATATAAGAAAGTGGGTACAAAAGAAGCAATTTACGTAACGCGTGGCTGCTACAGTCCCCATCTCCATAGCTGATTGGTCATCTAAAGTGCTTAATCAGGGGCACCTGGGTGGCTCAATCTGTTTAGCGTCTGACTCTTGATTTCAGCTCAGGTCATGATCTCAGTGTTGCGAAATTGAGCCCCACGTCAGGCTCGTGCTGGGTGCGCAGCCTGCTTGAGATTCTTTCTCTTTCTCTCTGCCCCTCTCCCACTCACATGCAGGAGCACGCATGCTCTCTCTCCTTCTCTCTAAAAAAATAATAAAATAAAACACAAAAATACAGTGCTAATCAGAGCTGCCTCCATTTGCCATTATACTATGTCCCCCTCATCCTCTTGCAGTACCTCACGTGGGGCTTCTCCACCTGGTATAGGGATCCAAACCCTCATTCCTAAAAAATCTGGAGTCCTCAGTGGTCTGCTCTTTACTGGGTTGCTCCGTTGATTATTGACCGGGATTTCTGGGCAAGGGAGGACTGAAAGGCTCCTCTGTTGATGTCCTGGGTGCCAGTCACAGTCCTCCCTGCTCCATTGTGAGGCAACAATGGCATTTCCTCATAGCAATGGGGACCCATCGCTTTGGCTTATATAGTGTGACTTCCTTCTCTGCCTATTGATTCAGGGTCATGAAGATCTCGAAATGGTCAAGAGACAGTTTCAACTTCCAATTCCTAAGATGAATTACTGCATTCTCTGGTGGAGCTGTTCCTCTCCTAGACACAGGGAGCTCCAAACTGCCAAGTTCAAGATCGGGCACAGGTGGCAGCACTCTTCCAGCGAGAGGCCACTCCTCTTCATTTTTTGGTTCCCAACCTGCTCATTCTGTCTACAGGAAGACCACACACTTGGCCATTAGTATAAAGCGTATATTGCATCCTGTGAGTACAAGCTAGTGTCTCCCATCTCGTTCTAGAACTGAATCTTCAGCAGACCAGTCCACAGGTCCATCAAGCCAGATGCTTCTGGATGATGGGAGATGAAGCCAAACCAGTGAGCCACCTGCTGCAGCTCCTCTGCAGTCAGATGTGCCCCTAGTCAGATCATTGTTGTAGAACACACTATGGTAATAAAAGGCACTCCTGCAAACCCAGGAATAACAGTTCTGGCAAAAGCACTGGGCAAGGAAGGCAAATCTATGCATAGTTCTATTCCTATCTCTGCGAGTAGAAAAAAGGGTTGCCTCCTCTGTGAGGGGAGAGATCTGATATAACAGGTAGCTGGCTGATCCCTCCCCCCAAGGAAATGGTGCCAGTCTGTGCATTTGGTGTGGCCTCTGCTGTTGGCAGGCTGGGCACTGAGCTGTGGCAATAGTCAGATGAACCATGGAAGTCCATGTTATGGAACCCACACGCGGCCTCCATTCTGGTTCTTGTGGACATTATGGATGTGGGCCCATTGAACAAGCATTTGGGGTGGCTGGAAAGCAGCTGACTGATAGCCACAGCTCATCTTGTTCACCTAAGTGTTGAAGACTTCCTCTGTCTTAGATACCCCTCTGGTGGGGCATTCACATCCCGTGACTATTCGGAGAGATGCATCCACATACCTCATTGACACCAATTTTCCTATCCTTAGGATGGCCTAAGACCTTGGCCATCCAGATGACCCATTATCAACTACCCATGAGTCAAAGTGAACTAAGACCTCAGGCCATCTCTCCTTCTGCACAAAATGGACAACCGGAGGGATCCTCTGAAGTTCTGCCCACTGGGGAGATTTCCCTTCACCACTTGTATTTCAAAGCCAGCTTCGGTTGGGGATTGCAATGTAGCTTCCATCCACTCCTGGCCAATGCCAGAGTATCATGATATCCATCCTTGAACGAGGCCCACTTTTTCCTCCTCCACTAACTGGTAATAAGGAATTCCCAATAAGGTCATGGGTGTGGGTTGAGGGAGAAGTGGCAGAAACAGGAGCAGGTACCATGGGAGCCTCAGCCACCTGCTTGGTCATATCTGCCACCTCCATTTTATTAAGGAATGGTTCTGTGCATGTCAATATTATGGTTCAGTGCATCAGATAACACCCAGTTCACTTGTCAATTCTGGTAGCACAGTCACTGAGTGTCTGTAATGTGTCTGTTTCCATCTCTACCAGGGCCAGGAGCAAGTCATTAACTGCTTCTTAAGTGGATAGAAGTTGTTCACAGAAAAGAATATGAGTTCACTCTGCCACCACCACCTGCTGCCATGAGTGAGTTCCTCATACTTTCTTTAGTGAACGGAGCGTGCTCCAGCTTCTCCTAGGGGTATGAGCAGCTTGTGTATAATAGATTTGTTTCAACATGTTTACTTTCCTGAGACTTTAGACTCTTTCCTACACAGAATTCTAAGGAAGTTCTGGCGTTTCCACCTCATCCAGTGAGATCATCATCGTGTTCAAATTTCAGTTAGGCAAACTAGAGACAACTAAAGCCACTCCTAGGTGATCAAATGAAAAAATGAACCCCCAAATCCCAGGCTAGGGCATTTGTCAGTGAATTTGGTCCCATCAAGCCTTACAATTCTTTCCCTGGGTCTAATGTCCTTGTAATCCACTCCCACAGGTTCCTGCCAATATAGATTGACAAAGTCTTCTTTTTATATAATGTTTATTTATCTATTTTTGAGAGAGAGAGGGACAGAGACAGCAGGGGAGGGGCAGAGAGAGAGAGAGAGACAGAGAATCTGAAGCAGGCTCTAGGCTCTGAGCTGTCAGTGCAGAGCCCAATGTGGAGTTCAAACTCATGAACCGTGAGATCATGACCTGAGCCAAAGTTGGACGCTTAACCGACTGAGCCACCCAGGCACTCCTTGACAAAGTCTTCTAAGAATTTCACTGTATAGACAATCTTCTTGTGGTACAGGCTTTATATTTCTCCTCCATGCCATGCTGGGATTAAGCCCCAGTTATGGGCCATGAAGAACAATGAGGGTGTGTTCTCAGGAGCGCAAGGATCAGCTTCCAGAAGGACTCCTCTAGGTTCGACCTCCGAAAGGCTTTTGTGCAGAGAAGTGGGTGCATTCTGACATGGAGGGAGGGGCTGGCAAAGGAGGTTTGGGGAAATTTGCAGGTCAAAAATTCTCAGCCCCAACCATGTCTCCCCAGTGGCCATTCCTTCCTTGTTAGTGCCCCACGTGCAATGTAAGACACCTGGGTTGGGGATGCTGTCACTCCGCAACCTTTACCACCAGAACTTGGGTTTGGTCCTGTTCTATCTCTCTGGTAGCCACAGGACCTAAGAGGCTCGTTCCTTCAAGCTCTCATGGAAGCCTCCCGTGGCTCATGCATCTTCTCAATTATGTGATCGTAAGTTTTCATTTATTTCCCATGTATTTTCTCTTGGGCTGTAGGAAGAAACCGGGTGTCTCCCCCGTCTTTATGACTAGTATTGTTGCCACTGGGCCAAGTGCCAAGGACACTTGACGTGCCGACTGGTCTTCCAACCTGCACTGTAACCCGTGCTACCACTAATGTTCATCTGAGCCACAGTGACACTAGCAGAGGCCGTGAACTCATCCTATTTGCCTCAGCAAGGAGATTGTCCCTATTGTACAGCTGATGATAGGGGTGCCATAAAGAGTGTTGCAGTAACTCGAGGCTAATGGTAGAACTGTTGCCTCCCCAGGCCCAAAGAAGAGGGAGGAGAGAGTTTTCTGGAGCCCAGAAGACAGCTAGCTGCCTCGAAAGGTGAAAGGGCACAGCCAGACTGCAGCATCCTACAGGGAGGAATCTAGAGGGTAAGAGACCCTGCTGACGTTGTGCATACAGGCCAGCCCCCTGCAGCCCAAAGAGGTGGATGGGGGTAAAGACTTGACCTGGGTGGGCAGATGAAAGACACCGGTGCAGCCACTTTTCCTCAAAGGGAGTCAGGAGCAGACAGCTTTAGTCCTTCCAGGCCTTGAAGAAGGAGAGGTTTGCCCAGGAGCAGATCACAGGGGGCACCTCGGGAGAAAGGAGCGACACAAGCAGATGTGCAGAGACCAGAGTGCAGCAGGTACATCCAGATGTTGGCTGCGTGCCTAGAAAGGAGGTCTGGGTCAACACACACCGCTCATGCGCTGGCCTGGGCCCAAATCTCCACTCATCTGGAAGACGCTATTTCTGGAGTCTGTCCATCTTTCTGGCTTGGGACCTCCCGCACTGGGCATCCAGAGACCTCAGGAAACATTGCTCACTGTGGCCCACACAGTGAGGGCCCCACACATTCTACCCCGCTGTCTGCCAGGATCCACAGCCTTCCGGCCCTGCTGCCACCAGGGCTCATCTGACCAACTCTGTCTTTAACTAGTTTGTCCTTAGTGCCCAGCCCTGCGATCAGAAATGGCCTCCATGCCTGATGGGGCCGTGGTCTGCTGTCTGCTTCCAGAGAGAAAGTCCCGTGGCAATAACCGCCCTGATAGAAGAAAGTGCAAGGTGCACACGGAGCTTAGAAGAGGGGACCAACTGCCTGGGCAGAGGCAAGGAGGGCTCCAGGAGGAGGTGTCACCGGCCAGGTCTTGGGTGTCCACAGCAGTCCTGCAGGAGGGTAGGAGAGGAAGGCATTGGAAGCAGTGGGACCAGCATAAACAAGTGTCTGGAGACGTGGGAGCGTGAGAACAGCAGACTTCCTGTGGCTGGGGACACGGCAGGGGATGAGGCTGGAGGGACAGAATGAAAAAGGGTCTCAAATACCATGTTCAGTAATTTAAATTTTGCCCTGAAGGCAAGGGGCTGGTATGGGGGTGGGGGAGACACACAGAATACATTTTCAAGACCTTACCGTTGAAAGTACGTTTGCACTTTCAAGATGTTACTATCGTTGTGCCCATTTTACAGGATTCGGGAAGGGTATGTAACTTGTACAAAGTGACCTGGCTTATGCAAGACGCATCCATACATGCTATAAGCATATGATCTCTGAATTCTTGGGGAGACCAGCACAGTGCCGTGTGACGCTCTAATTATCTACTGCTGGGAAACACCCTCACACTTAAAGTCTTACCATGACAACAGCCACTTATGTTGCTCGTGAATCTGCAATTCGGGCAGAGACCGGCAGGGAGGGTTTGTGTCTGTGGCACGCAGCATCGGCCAGGCAGCTTGCCTGAAGCAAGTTATAAGGGTGGCGGCATGTCTAGGACCAGGAGGCAGTTCCCGGGAAGGCTGGCAAGGTCTCCACTGGTCTCCCAGGGTCTGGTGGAGACTGAGTCACAAGCAGAGGGCTTGTCGCCTGGCATCAGGGTTGATACCAGGAGGTGGCCTGGTGCTTCTTCATCTTGGGAGGGAGTGCTCTCTACAGGAGGGTTAGGGTCCACTCCATCTGTTCCCCCTGGAGAAATGGAAGCCTTCAGCTGAGGAAGAATCTGTAAGTGGTCTCTGTGCCTCTCACACAAGGAAGGAACGCCATGTAGTAGCTCTACCCCTGCTTGCACACGTCCACTGGTGAACCACTCACTGTCCCTGGGCCAGCTGCCCTGATGTGGGGCTGCTTGGCTGTTAAGGCTTTTGTCCAGCCTCCCTCCGGCCTCAACACCTGCGTCCCTGTTCTCCACTCTGCCCACGGAAGAATCCTGCCCCCCATCATCTTCATCAGCCCCGGAGAGTCAAGAAGCATCACCAAATGTAAAGTACCAATAAATAGCCAACAGTCAGGATAATGACAATAGCCAACACCCAGTGCACGTTATGTTTAGAACTGTTCTAGGTGCTTGGCGTGTGATAATCTATTTAGCCATTATACTCCTATGAGATAGGACAGACCTCCCCTGTCTTGTTCATTCCTGGGTCCCCAAGACTCTGCCTGGCATTTATCAGCTAGATAATATGTGTGTGTCGTATTGTTGTAGGTTGTATTGTATTGTATCCTCGGAATCCTTAGGGTTGTCGTGAGGACGAAGTATACAATGGATGTGACAAGCAGGAAAGAGGCACACAGTGTGGGGCTTCCTCGTCTCCTGCTCTTCGTCACTGAGGCCCACGCAAAGCCAGGTGTAAAGCCCGAGCTGGGGGTGCTTCAGGGGGGCCCCTGGGAGTGAGGGTGATGCTGCAGGACGTCAGAAAAACTGGGGTGGGCGGGTGAATGGAAGGCAGGACGTCAGAAAAACTGGGGTGGGCGGGTGAATGGAAGGATGGACGCAGATGGGTGGATGAAGAAATAAGGGTTCTTTCGAAAGACAAGGTACCGGTGTGGACTCAGGCTGGTATTTCAGTCTTTATCCAGCAGAGGGCACCAAGGCTCCAACAATTGGCAGAGAAGCCTTTCTTGGCCCTGCAGGAGGGCACTGTAGCCCACAGAGGGCCTGGCCCGCATATTTGTCGGCAGCCCTGGCAGGGTGGCGACGGAGGGAAAGACATCAGAGTCCATAGGGGTGCAGGGCGAGGAGCAAAGAGCACAGGCTAGAGTCAGACCCAGGAGTCCACCTCCCGTAAGGGGGACCTTGGGGAGTACCTCACACCCCGGAGAGGTTCCCTTTTGTAACGTGATACACAAAATACGTGTACCTTCTAGGCTGGCCCTGAGGATTAAATGAGATGCACTCTAGGGGATGCGCAAACCTCAGAGAGATTTGTCTGCCCTCCCTGAGGCCACCCAGCAAGTACGAGGTGGTTCTCTAAGGATCCTAAGGAGATTTCTATGAAAATAGAGAGTTGTATTAGGATGAAAGCCGTTCTGGGGAATAGAGACAGTTCTAGGTGAGTGTGGAAGACTTGGGGGCGGGAAGCTGCTCAGAGGCTAGGGAGATTCTTGGAGACACTGAGGTAAGGAAGCCCGCCTTGTCATGATGAGTAGATACCTGATCCCCCCTCACAGCCAGCCTAGGAGCTCCAGGTGCACCTCATTCATGTGGGAAATTGAGATTTTGTTTTAAATGTTTGTGGGGGGAGAGTGCAAGTGGGGGAGGAGCAGAGAGAGGAGGACAAGGGATCTGAAGTGGGCTCCATGCTGACAGCAGCAAGCCCAGCCGGACGTGGGTCTCGAACCCACGAGCCACAAGATAATGACCTGCGCCAAAGTCAGATGCTCAACTGACTGAGCCACCCAGGTGCCCTGGGAAATTAAGACTTTCATGTGGAACTTGACTTGCCCGTCTTCCGGCAGCTGGGTGTGCATTTGCCATCTCAGCGGGTACTTCAGGAGTTTTTCCTCTGGCATTTATTTTATGTATTGTGGACACTCCTGCTCCCTGCCAGGGATTTATCGCAGGGACCAGGCCCGGCTCACCCTGCCTCAGACTGGGCTTGTGTCAACAGGCCGTCCCCTGCAGAAAGCCAAGCCCGGTTCTATACGGCTTCAAAGACATAAACAGCAAACCAGTGCCATGTTTCCCTGGAGCCAGCGGCCTTGCCAGGCTGAGGAAGTGTCCAGCCAGACCGCAACAGCAAGGGGGCTCCCAGTGGTAAGCCGGTGCCCTAGCCTGGGCCGTGGCCTCGGTCTTGAGCAAGAAGGTGGTCCACACTTGCGGTGCTGCTATTTCTGAAAGCGGCTTGCGCAGGACAGGCCTCCCTTTTTGGGACAGGACCCCAAGGCAGAGCAGGGATGCTTTGTTTTGCCCTTCTTCTTCTCGTAAGGCAGCACCTAGAAGCCGCCAGGGTGCTGCGGGCCAGGGTAGAGCTGGGTAGGACCACACCCGGCCCAGGACCGACTCGGGTTTCAGGAGCCCCCAGTGCTGCTCGTCAGGGTGAGCCACCAGCCTCCGCCACCTGGAGGGTCTGCGTCTTCCCGGGTGGCAGAACTCCCCGGGCTCGAGCGGGATCTTTGCATTCATTTCTGATAAAGCTCCTCTGGGCACATCCTATTCGCGAATCCAGCTTGTTGAGACTCGCGTCTTCATTCGCCTGTGACATCAACACTTTCTGATGTCCCACTCGGCGCCAGCTCCGTCTTTGATACTCGGAGATGGGACCACTAAGCCAGGGCACCTGTTCTAAGCTCGTGGGGAAGGCGGAGGATTGCAGCCTAGTGGAGGGCGGAAGCCCCTGAGGAGGTGGGAACAACGCTTTGGAGTGGACCCTGTGGCCTGGGCAACCTCGGCCCCTCCCTCCTCACACGCGTGCGGGACATCGAGCCCGCGGGCCACCGTTTCACCCCGATCTCCAGCAAACTGATTGAGCAGCGCGGAAGCAACAGAGGGCAGCTTGGTGGAGACCCGCCTGTGGACAAAGAGCCAGCAGCGAATGGTGAGGAGTAGATGGGAGAACTGAGAAGACCAAAACCCACAATGTGATGAGAAAGTGAGCCACGCTTGTCACATGGGCCCCTGCCAGTGCCCTGGAGGGCATGAGGCTGAGATTTTGCAGCCTGAATTGCTATCAAATTATTGTCCATGGGCTCAGGACCCTAGACAGGGCAGGTCTGGCACGGTGTCTGTAGAACTAACCATGAGCTGGGAACAGAACTGAATGCACAAAGCAGACACTAGGCCACGGAGGCCTAAGGAGCCCCCTGTGGCTACATATCAAGGGGTCCTGGGCAGCGAGTCGGGAAGGAGGCCACTCTTCCCTGTGCTAGAAGACCACCAGCAGCTGCCTCCAAACAGGCAGCCTGCTGCTTCCCACCTTGACATCTCAGCCCACCCACCTCTTGGGCACTTTTTGCTTCCTTTAAGGACACACTACATGTGATGTGGCCTGTCCCCAACCCTGACGGTCACACTCCTTCCCCACTAAAATGCAGATCTCCAACCTTTGGGGTCAGAAATCCAAGAATACCATGGCAGCTTCTGGGATAGCAGATCTGACTTTATTTCTGTTG